CAAATGTGCGGCCGCTCGGCGTCTAGGCCCAGTCGCTGGGAGGCCGCACATTTGTGTGCGGCTGGCATAAAGGGCTTAAAAAGGGTGCAATGCTCTGCAGGCTCCTGAGAAAAAAAGTAAATGCACTTTTTTTTCACCTGCAAAAACACGTGTATTTATTATTTTTTAAAAAGGTGAGCTTATCTTTTAACCCCCCATGTTATACGTACATAACAAGGTGTTCTGTAGTCCAGTAGGGGGCAATTCAGGCAGGTTTGACAACACTGTTTGAAATTTGAGTGCAGCAGAGGCAGTGTTGTCGGCTCAATACAGGATGTTATTTCATTGGATTTCTGGTAGGATCAACAGGTCATTTTTTCGGCACTTACGGAATTTTTAAACATCTGGAAATGTAAATGTTTTGCAGAGATTTGCTGTTTTATTTGGATGGGGGGGGGGGGGGGGGGTTATATTTAGTCATTTCAAAAGACCCCATTGGTATTATCCCAAAATCTTCTACTAATGGATCACTTTATATCATAGGTTCCGTTATAGGTTAGCTGGCTATGATACTTTATATGGCTGTAATTTCAGATTTACAATGCAAAGCAATGAGTCAGGACTAGTAAAGGTATTTTTAAATGCTTCCATTGTGCCCCAGGCAAAAAAATCTCAGTACTTCCCCTAATGTTCCAGCTCCTCAGTAACATTGGCACAGCTCCGGTTTATAGGGAACGATTCTTCCTATAGGATTTCTGAACCCAAGAACAAAAAAAAGGAATTTATTGCAGCTTACTAGTCAGTAGATTTGGTGTCTGCATTTGTTTTCTTTTATACGCTGAGAACATTTTCTGAGAGTATGGACAAATATCTGCTTAGCCGACAACATTCCAGTGTCCCGGCAACTTTCTGTATACTGAACTGAAATCTCAAACAATGTTGTCAGCTTTCCCAGCTATCTTCTGTGAAATACAAACCCACCCTTGCCTGTGTAATGTACAAGAGAGAGTAGTGTTTGTTGTCAAAATACAGGAGATCAGCAATGCTGCTCCTCCATAGATATAGTGTAGTGAGTGTCGCCACCAGTGGAGGACTGACAGTTCATGGGGCCCCTGGGCAATAGGGGATCATGGGGTCCCTGTGTCCTTGACCACACTCAAAGCACACCCAAAATGAATACAAGTATATGGTACAGCAGACACATATCAGGAATATGAAATGTTAGGGTAACATATTCTTTCAGCTTTGTTTCTTGGAAAATGGTCTCTTATTACTATAATTGCTCCCTCCATTCTACATACTATTGTAAATCTAATCCCAGAGATTGTCCATGATAGTCAGCTAGTTGTCCCTGTCACTAAGGGAGACAGTACTGTTTGACTTTCAATCATTTTAAGCTTTATCTATTTCATTTAGTGGGTGGCCAGTTGTGCATCCCTCTGACTTTGGAGAACTGCTGATCATTGCATTATTTTTACAGAGCTTATGAATAATATTTGGTGTACCAATTTCAAGTTTCCTTAGAGCAGTGGAGACTATTTTATTATATTTCTTGATTGTAGACTGTTTATATCCTTATGGTATTAAAGTGTATGTTTTTAGTTTTCATTTTGGATAATGAAGGCAAGGATTTGAATCCCCATCCATTTTTTATTGCCTTATGTGTGTCCCCACTCACTAGGTGAAGTCATCCTATCTGACATGCTGCCCATCATCAGAAAAGAAGATAGTGATAGCAAATCCAAAATGTTACAGGTGTCACTAGGGCTTTTTTTCTCAGACTATAGGTACAGGAACTCACCCTTTCCAAGTCACCCCTTGTCTCTGCCCTCTACCCACCGCCAAGCTTGTTCTTTGGTTCCACCCTCTCCCAGTACTGCACTTTTAGAGAATACAGAACCAAGTATCATTTTGTGGTGCTAAGTAATTTGAATGTTAAAGCATAAAAAATAGATCCCCTGCATCCAGCAACAATAGACTCCCCTCCAGCAACAACAGATCTACCCCCAGCCATCATCAATAGACCCTCCAGCAATCAGCAATAAAAGACCCCCCTCTCAACAGTACCAAGTATCATTTTGTGGTGCTAAGTAATTTGAATGTTAAAGCATAAAAAATAGATCCCCTGCAGCCAGCAACAACAGACCCCCCTCCAGCAACAACAGAACTACCCCAAGCCAGCATCAATAGACCCTCCAGCAATAAGCAATAAAAGTCCTCCTCTCAACAGTAGATCCACCCCATCAACAATTGACCCCCCCAGCAACAATAGACACCCCTCCAGCAACAACAGCTCTACCCCCAGCCAGCATCAATTGACCCTCCAGCGATCAGAAATTATAGGCCCCCCCTCTCAACAGTAGATCCACCCCATCAACAATTGACCCCCCAGCAACAATAGACACCCCTCCAGCAACAACAGATCTACCCCCAGCCAGCATCAACAGACCCTCCAGCAATTAGCAATTATAGACCCCCCTCTCAACAGTAGATCCACCCCATCAACAACTGACCCTCCCAGCAACAATAGACACCCCTCCAGCAACAACAGATCTACCCCCCGCCAGCATCAATAGACCCTCCAGCAATCAGCAATTATAGACCCCCTCTCAACAGTAGATCCACCCATCAACAATTGACCCCCAGCAACAATAGATCCCCCATCAGTATCCATAGACCTCCCTCGCACAATAAACACCCCCCCCAAAAAAAAAAACACTAATCCCCAGCAGCCAGCATCAATAGACCCTCCAGCACACCCCAGCATCCCTTGCCATTACATACATTCAGTGCTGGCGGTGCCGGAACTGTCTTCCCCCACGTTCCCGCTGAAAAAAGTCCTGGTTGTCACCATAATAAAGGGTGAGGAGTAAATGTTTCAGTGGGGACACCTGTTCTGTTGACAGCTGTCTAATGGCTCTTGCTGTTGGGGGGCAGCTGCGTTTACACAAAGGCAGCGGCTGGGGTTGTGCACGTCATGGCTGCAATGTTTGGTTAGCAGCCAGAATTATACCCCCTGTTGAACTGCCCGCCAAACATGACCAATTCTAGGGAATGGAGCTGTGCTGCATCACTTCCTCGATGCTTGTCAAATGCCTCTAAAAAAGCAATCGAGTATGGATCGCTTTTCAGAGGATCAGCAGTCCTTACTGACTGTGTAGACGAGCCCTAAGAGAGAAATTCCTCTTACTTGGTATAGATTTCCTTCGACTGCTTGTTGCTTTTCAAGAAAAGGAAGTGAAGGGAAATATGCTCAACGAGAAACAGACACCAAAAAAAATTACAGTTTAGCCATTTCTTGGCCTGAAGATAAAATTTAAAAAACACGTTTTGGCTGTGTACATACATTAAAAATATGTGGAACTGTTAGTTTCTAAGTTACAGAACCACTGCAATATGTGACAATTTTTTTTATTTTACTCGTAGGTTAGTAAAAATCCAAATGCTGTACACCAGAACAGCCCAGGTGTAAAGCAGATGAAAGTGGCTTCAGCCTAGCTCCGACTAGTCTATGCCCCCCCAATGCTTTTCACCCCACCCATAGGGCTTAGTCATGAAGGTCTCCATCAGTAAGCTCCATGGGCAGGGCGAAACGCATTGGGCGGAGTGGCCTGATCAGAGTCGGGCTGAAGCCACTTTCATCTGCTTTACACCTGGGCTGTTCTGGTGTGTGGTGTTTGGATTTTCACTAGCCTATGAGTGTATACTGAGCCAGCATGGGCTCTTTCCACACCAGCACCCTCTCAGTGTGAGTCACCAGAGGCCATGGAAATGGGGACCTGGAGTGGTACCCTAAGCTTTCTTGATTAAGGTCACATTAGAGTACAAATTACGAACATCCAAAGGAACCACACTGCACATTTTTGCAGTCATATCAGTTATGAAACGATTTCTGACTGGTTAACATTGGCAAAATTGCTCTTCACGTTGACTTCATTTATAATCCTGATTCCTTAAAACAAGTAATGTGTGCTTGTATCATATCATATAACATGTGCTTCATGTGTTTTCCTGACCAAGGACAGGCCATGGAGGGGAGTCATAATAGAATATCAGAATCACCTCGATGCTTTCACTTAAAGGTATTTATCAATTTCTGATTGAGATTGGTTGGTTGGCTCATCCAATGACTTCTTATATTTCAGGAAATTCAGCTGTAAGAGCTTTATATCTTGGTTCCCAGCTATGCCTACTTTCTATAAGAATTATAAAAAGGTGTCACTCTCTTGGAATTACATTTACTCTATATTATGGAGAACTTAATGGGGGCCTGTGTAAATGGGCTTTTGTTCACATCAGAACTTCTCTCCACAGACAAATCTGTGGGGATGCAAGATAAATTTGGAGAAGGTCAAATGTAGATCAGAAGGAGCTCAAAGAATTCTGCAGGATCTCAGGAGCATCTCAAACTGATGCAAATGCAAGCTGCATTTGGCCATCAAAAAAACCCCATAGTCCACCAGCACAGGCCTTTCCTAAGCATGCAAATATATCTTAGAGTGGGAAGAGCCAGTTACTAAGCTTTGGTTCTCACCCACTATAGCTGTTGGGAGATTTGACCTAAAAGTACCCAAAACAAACATCACTTCCAGTTGGACTGACCCTTGGCAGCTGAGCTGATTTTTAATGGAGTTCTCTTTTAAATTCAAGTTGTCTTAATTTCAAAATGATGCTCTTTCAGTTTTAAAGATATGATCTCCTACAAAACACAGCCTATTTCCAATACTTTTAATAAGAAGGTTACATTCCACATCCACCATCATGATATGGAATTCCATCCATGTATGTGTCCTATCTTAATATTTTTTTTTAGATATACACATAAAAGGTCCTCTTAAATATTGATGAACAACTGATTGTCCAGTTTTGGTCGGTTTGGATTAAGGTTCACTGCCATGCATTGCTACATACTATGTGTCGCTGGACACAGTGTCAGGATATGTGATTGGCTGGTTTTATATAAGGCAGCAAAATATTATATCTGTGTTAATGTAAGAGCCACTGGAGAGTTTTCCAAGGTTCTAGCAGAGGGAGAACCTCCGAGAATTGATGTTCATTTTAGTAACTCCAATAAGTTTCAAAGGAGTGGAGAGGGCCAAAAGAGGACATCAAGGGGAAGTCACAGAGCAGATCCGACAGCTCATCCCTCTCTTCCAGTTCATAGGTGGCATCATTCAACATTCTCCGATGAAGGTGACACGTCTGCTCAATCTTTAGTTTGTTGATGTCGCTTCGCAGCCTCATGAGCTGTCTGGCCAACTGCTGGTCTTGGAGACGCATCTCTGTCTAAAGTACAAGACAACAAAATTAATCTTGATTAAATGCAAACATAAGCCTCTGAGAACCAACATAATATATAATCAAGGGCTCACAACAAGCAAACAACCAATGGCCCTCATATTCAAAGTAACCTTGACTGTGTTATCAGCAAAAATAGGGGCTTACTGGATTTCTGGCAGATCAACAGGTAGTCTTCGTATTTTCAGTGTTTAAAGATACAAAACGTGGGGAAATGTGTGCATTGAATAGATATACAAAATATTTTTCTATCCATACATTTGCTTTGACAATGTGTTGACACCGTACTGCTTAACTGCAGTGAAGAAGTGGAGAAAAGTATAACTGGATATGTTGGTAGGCACAACAGATCACAAAACAAAATTACAAATTCTTTTGTCAGTTAAAGTGTTACTAAACCCACAACAGTAAATGAGTTTGTATATGCAGTAAAGCATGCTAGTTATACTCATTGTGGAACCTAAGGGGTTCCTACTCCACATTGTGTAAAAAGGATGTTTTACCATGCCTTCTCTGATTCTCCCCTTCTTCTACTGTCCCCAATCCATCTGCTGATAAAACAGAGCCTTGGGGGCAAGCTGCACATGCTCAGTTTGATGTGTATTGCTAGAGTTTATTTCTTTTTGGGAGGGAGGGTGCATATGATCAGCTCAGGGCCCTCAGCACTGTCCAGACAAAGGGTCAGGGATTATGCAGCCTCATAGGACAATCAGGGGAGAATGAAAACTCCTCCCACAAGCTTTACCCAGTGCTCTGCTGGATACTTGAAATCACAAGACTGCTCTAACTGCTGATGAGAAAAGGTATTTAGCAGTTTATATTTACTAAAATAAATGCATTTCCATGTTATGTGTACTGTGGGAGACCAGATATAGTGAATGCAGGGTCCAGGGAGACCAGATACAGTGAATGCAGGGTCTGGGGAGACCAGATATAGTGAATGCAGGGTCCAAGAAGACCAGATATAGTGAATGCAGAGTCCAGGGAGACCAGATATATTGAATGCAGGGTCCGGGGAGACCAGATATAGTGAATGCAGGGTCCAGGGAGAACAGATATAGTGAATACAGGGTCCAGGAAGACCAGATATAGTGAATGCAGGGTCCGGGGAGACCAAATATAGTGAATGGAGGGTCCGGGGAGACCAAATATAGTGAATGCAGGGTCCGGGGAGAGCAGATATAGTGAATGCAGGGTCCAGGAAGACCAGATATAGTGAATGCAGGGTCCTGGGAGACCAGATATAGTGAATGCAGGGTCCGGGGGGGAACCAGATATAGTGAATGCAGGGTCCGGGGAGACCAGATATAGTGAATGCAGGGTCCAGGAAGACCAGATATAGTGAATGCAGGGTCAGGGGAGACCAGATATAGTGAATGCAGGGTCCTGGGAGACCAGATATAGTAAATGCAGGGTCCTGGGAGACCAGATATAGTGAATGCAGGGTCCTGGGAGACCAGATATAGTAAATGCAGGATCCTGGGTTTAGTAACACTTTAAGCTAGCCCATATATAATGTATACTGTATATACAGTGGGGATCGAAAGTTTGGGCACCCCAGCTAAAAATTTGTATTAATGTGCATAAAGAAGCCAAGGAAAGATGGAAAAATCTCCAAAAGGCATCAAATTACAGATTAGACATTCTTATAACATGTCAACAAAAGTTAGATTTTATTTCCATCATTTACACTTTCAAAATAACAGAAAACAAAAAAATGGCGTTTGCAAAAGTTTGGGCACCCTGCAGAGTTAATATCTTTACTGCCCCCTTTGGCAAGTATCACAGCTTGTAAATGCTTTTTGTAGCCAGCCAAGAGTCTTTCAATTCTTGTTTGAGGTATCTTTGCCCATTCTTCCTTACAAAAGTCTTCCAGTTCTTTGAGATTTCTGGGCTGTCTGTCACGCACTGCTCTTTTAAGGTCTATCCATAGATTTTCAGTTATGTTGAGGTCAGGAGATTGTGAAGGCCATGGCAAAACCTTCAGTTTACGCCTCTTGATGTAATCCCCCGTGGATTTCGAGGTGTGTTTAGGATCATTATCCATTTGTAGAAGCCATCCTCTCTTTAACTTCAGCTTTTTCACAGATGGCATCAAGTTACCATCCAAAATTTGCTGAAATTTTATTGAATCCATTTTTCCTTCTACTTGTGAGATGTTCCCTGTGCCACTGGCTGCAACACAACCCCAAAGCATGATTGATCCAACCCCATGCTTAACAGTTGGACAGAGGTTCTTTTCATTAAATTCTGTGCCCCTTCTTCTCCAAACGTACCTTTGCTCATTCCGGCCAAAAAGTTCAATTTTAACCTCATCGGTCCACAGAACTTGTTTCCAAATGCATCAGGCTTGTCTATATGTTCATTTGCAAAGTTCAAACGATGATTTTGTGGTGAGGACATAGAAGAGGTTTTCTTCTGATGACTCTTCCATGAAGACCATATTTGTACAAATATCTCTTTATAGTGGAATAGTGTACCACAACTCCCGTGTCTGCCAGATCTTTCTGGAGGGATCGTGCAGTCAAACGTGGGTTTTGAATTGTTTTTCTCACAATCCTGCGAGCTGTTCTGTCTGATATTTTTCTTGGTCTTCCAGATCTTGCTTTAACTTCCACTGTTCCTGATGACTGCCATTTCTTAATTACATTCCGAACAGAGGAAATTGACATCTGAAAACGCTTTGCTATCTTCTTATAGCCTTCTCCAGCTTTGTGAGCGTCAACTATTTTCAGTTTCAGTTTTCTAGACAACTGCTTAGAAGAACCCATGGTGCTGATTGTTGGGGCAAGGTCAGATGAGTCTGGGCATTTAAAACCTTTGAGATTGACATAACCTGGTCTTCCCAGACGATGATTGAGAACAATCCATGACACTGGCAGGTCTCAGCTTTGCAAAGGGGGCAGTGCATGCTATAAATTCTGCAGGGTACCCAAACTTTTGCAGACGCCATTTTTTTGTTTTCTGTTATTTTGAAAGTGTAAATGATGGAAAAAAAAAACCTAACTTTTGCTGACATATTATGAGAATGTCTAATCTGTAATTTGATGCCTTTTGGAGATTTTTCCATCTTTCCTTGGCTTCTTTATGCACATTAATACAAATTTTTAGCTGGGGTGCCCAAACCTTCGATCCCCACTGTATATGTTACGTGAAGACAGATTGCAGCACAAACCTCTTATTTAATAAAGGAAACTAATTTGTTACATTATGTCATCAAATTGACAACAGATTTGGGCCGACAGACAGGTCTCCATCAGGCCAAATAGAAACATGTACATATAATATTAACAGTTTCTTAAATAATCGAGCCAATTGGAAATGAGATCATTTTTAAACTCCTTAACTATATAGATACCAGATGACAACATAACATCATATAACATACAAACAATAATGAGGAATGTGGAGGAATTTCCTCCCATGAAGAAATAATAAGTAGTATCTATATAAAAAATAAATAAATAAGTAATGATGATGATATTCTAGCAGCAACAAAAAGAACCACTCTGTGAATTAATTTACCAAAATTTAAATAAATCATTATAATCTATTATTATTACTTATTTAATTATAATAATACTCAATATAAATAATAATACATCAATAAACAGAATAAAATAAAAAGAACATTTTTTTTTTTACATTTCATACATTTTTCACGTTATTCGTTATTGTTTGTGTATTATATGCTGTTGCCATCTGGTATTTATATAGTTAATATATTTGAAAATTATTCCATTTCTGGTTGGCCAGATTATTCTAGGAGCCATTGATACTATGTATGTACATGTTTCTGTTTGGTTTCTATTTGATGATAAAATGTAACAATTTTTTTTAGGTCATGAAAGAGGAAGATTGTGCTGCAACCTGATTTCCACTTTACTTGCTTATACAGATTGTGGGATTGTTGGACTGATCCCCATTGTGGACACTACAGTTGTGCTTTCTACCTTATCTCCTACTACATATACACTCTATTGCCAAACATATTGGGCCAGCCCTCCAAATCATTGGATTCAGGTGTTCCAATCACCTTCATGGCCACAGGTGTATAAAATCAAGCACCTAGGCATGCAGACTGCTTCTACAAACATTTGTGTGAAAGAATGGGTCGCTCTCAGGAGCTCAGTGAATTCAAGTGTTGTACTGTGATAGGTTGCCACCTGTGCAATAAATCCATCCGTGACATTTCCTTGTTACTAAATATTCCACAGTCAACTGTTAGTGGGATTGTAACAAATTGAAAGCAAGGAACAACAGCAACTAAGCCACTAAGTGGTGAAATGACAGAGTGGGGTCAGAGCATGCTGAAGCGCACAGTGCGCAGAAGTCGCCAACTGTCTGCAGAGTCAAAAGCTAAAGACCTCCAAACTTCATGTGGCCTTCAGATTAGCACAACAGTGCATAGAGAGCTTCATAGAATGGCTTTCCATGGCTGAGCAGCTGCATCCAAGCCTTACATCACTAAGTGCAATGCAAAGCGTCGGATGCCGTGGTATAAAGTACGTCGCCACTGGACTCTAGAGCAGTGGAGATGTGTTCTCTGGAGTGACCAATCACGCTTCTCTGTCTGGCAATCTGATGGATATGTCTGGGTTTGGCAGTTGCCAGGAGGACGGTACTTGCTTGACTGCATTGTGCCAAGTGTAAAGTTTGGTGGAGAAGGATTATGGTGTGGGGTTGCTTTTCAGGGGTTGGGCTTGGCCCCTTAGTTCCAGTGAAGGGAACTCTTAAGGCGCCAGTATACCAAGACATTTTGGACAATTTCATGCTCCCAACTGTGTGGGAAGAGTTTGGGGATGGCCCCCTTCCTGCCAACATGACTGCCTTCTCTTCCGACATCATGTGCCTTGACTGGCTCACAAATCCTGCACTTCACCTGGAATGAATTAAAGCGGAGACAAACATCACAAATGCATTCCCATAGAAACACTCCTAAACCTTGTGGACAGCCTTCCCAGAAGAGTTGAAGCTGTTATAGCTGC